CATATTCAAACTACTGTTTATATTCCAACTACTGTTCATATTCATACTACTGTTCATATTCATACTACTGTTTTTATTCATACTACTGTTTTTATTCATACCACTGTTCATATTCATACTACTGTTTTTATTCATAAAACTGTTTACATTCACACTACTGTTTATGCTCCTACTACTGTTTGCATTTGCACTACTGTTTATACTCACACTCCTGCTTATATTACACTACCATTGATATACAAATATATATTTTTATTAGTCTTATTGCATATGTCACTTTACTTACACCAATATCAAGGACTTCATACATACACCGTGTACATTCACTTCATATGCTGCTTTGCCACTCACTACAGATATCACTGTCAGGACCTTCATTTCATTTTATTTTATAGATATACTTTTTAAAATATTTTTATACCGTATAGTACAATTGAAGACAGTATGCTTTTATTATTTCATTTTATGCTTATGTTTAATATATGTTTTAATGTTAAATGGTTATTGTTGCACCGGGGTCTGAGAGAAATGTAATTTCAATCCTGTGTATGTCCTGTACATATTGCAGCTTTTGACAATAAAGTGACTTTAACTTTGACTTTGACAAGTGAGACCTGTTTGGACAGACAATAAAAGTGGTGAAAAATGACACATATAAACATTAATATAATTAAATATATACATATATATAGATATACTTGTTGTGTATATATAAATATAAACCATACGTATAATATAAATATATATATAAATAATATATAAATATAAACCATACGTATAAAATAAATAATATATAAATATAACCATATATATATATATATATATATATACATATACACGTATGTGCATATAAATAGGTGTATACATGTACATATATATGTATAGGTATACATACATATACACACACACACACACACACACACACACACACACACACACACACATATATATATATATATGTATATATATATGTATATATATATACATATACACACACACACAATAATCAATTCCAATCAAAATATCAAAGACACTTTATCTGAATACTGTAAATGTTATACGTCAATAAAATTGTAACGTTCCAAAAAAATTAAAAAATGGTTGTTAGGATTTTCTTAGGCAGGAGCGAACCCAGAGTGCAGACAGGGACTCAACTCAGCAGAATACAAAAATAGGTATTTAATGGTAAAATAAAGATACAAAATAACAGGCTGACGGGGCAGCAAAACTTACATGAACAGGAAGATAAGGCACGGGAAACTCAGGAGGACTCAGACGACACGGAAGACTCAAGGAACTCGGAAGACTCAGGTGGAACACAGGAGACCCAACGAGTACGATGCGACAACGAACAAGACTGACAGATGGCTTATATACAAGGACAAGACGAGACGTGATTACGAACAGCTGGGACGAGACAAGGGTGGCACTAATAGAACTAACGAGGGAGCACAAGGGAACACAGACACAAACCGGGCCACCAAATGGTACCATCCTTACAGTGCCCCTCCCCCCCCCCCCCAAGGATGCCCCCAGGCGTCCCCCAAAAAAAACCCTCCCGAAGGACTTGGGCGGGTCGAGAGCGGCACTGCAAGGGTGGAGGGCCCGAGGAAAACATGAGGAACAAACTAAAGACCTGAGAAAAACTATGACTAACCACAAGGAGGGAACACAAAGGATTTGGACGGTCAAGAGACCGTCCCTAGGAGTCATTGTTCCGGCGGGCGGCCGGGAGGCTGTCCATCAAACCAGGCCAGGTCAGGGTGGCGGCCGGGAGGCCATCCAATACATAGGACCAGAGAGACTGCGGCAGGCGGCGATGAGGACTTGGAGAACGCAGCATGCGTCAAGGAGTCCTAGGGAGCTGCAGCATGCGTCAAGGAGTCCTGGGGAGCTGCAGCATGCGACGGAGAGTCCTGGGGAGCTGCAGAATGCGACGGAGAGTCCTGGGGAGCTGCAGCATACAACAGAGAGTCCTGGGGAGCTGCAGCATACGACAGAGAGTCCTGGGGAGCTGCAGCATACGACGGAGAGTCCTGGGGAGCTGCAGCATACGACGGAGAGGCCTGGGGAGCTGCAGCAGACGACGGAGAGGCCTGGGGAGCTGCAGCAGATGACGGAGAG